CAGCCTGGTCTATGTAACAAGTTCCAGGCCAGCCAGGACTACACAGTGGGACCCTGTCTCAAAAAAAAAAAAAAAAAAAAAAGTTTGGAGAAAAGCACTACAGCGACAGCGCAGAAGTTAAGAGCACTTCTTCATCTCCTCAAAAACTTGAGTTCAGTTTCCAGCACTTGAGCAAAGTGGTTCACAGTAGCCTATAATTTCAGCTCCAGGGGATTCAATGTCTTCTTCTGGCCTCCACGGGCACCCAGATCTGCTTAATATACATTCACATAGACACACACATACAGATAAATAAAAGACAAAAATAAATAAATCTTTAAGGCTGGAGAGACGGCTCAGCAGTAAAGAGCACTTGTTCTTACAGTAGACCCATGTTTGATTCCCAGCACCTACATGGTCGGTAACACTACCTCTAGTTCCAGAGGACCTGACACCTTCTTCTGGCCTCCTTAGGTACCAGACAGGCATGTGGTGAATATATCTATATATATTTAGGGAAAACACTCATACACATAAAATAAAAATAAATCTTTAAAAACCATGTTTGAGGGGCTATAATGTATTCAGTTGGTGAAGTGCTTGCCTAGTGTACATGAAACCCTAGGATCCTCCAAGCACTGGATAAAACTGGGCATGGTGACACGTGCTGAGAATCTCAGGACTCAGGAGGTGGAGGCAGGAAGATCAGAAGTGCAAGATCATTCTTGCCTATATAGCAAGTTTGAGACCTGCCTTGGATACATGAGATGCTATCTCAAAAATTAATATAAAATAGCTATAAGATGGGTGTTTTGACATGCTTCTGTCACCCCAGTACTCTGGAGGTTGAGGCAAGACAATTGTGAGGTAGAAGTCATCCTGGACAACACAGCAAGACTCTCTGTCAAGACAAAACAAAAGGAAAAGTTTACAAATGGTTATCTTTGTTCTAACTTCCTCAGCTTACAACTTCCCTCCAATGAGTAAGTGGTACTCAGATATTCACACCTACAGCGGCTTTTTTTTACAGCGTCATCTCTTTTGATTGATACCAGCTGATAATGGGTAGAATACAGGAGTTGGAAATTGCTTAGAGATCATCTGGTCTCACTAACTGCTTCATTGCACAAAGAAGAAACTGAGACCCAGAGAAGTGGAAAGGTAGTTAAACAGGCTTTTCCTTGACCTTTTACAGAAAGGGGGAGCTCACATTTCACAAAGCACCTGCTCTGAAAATGAATCGGATGTGTTTAGCAAATAAAATTTGCTTTAATTACCGTAGCCAAGCTTTAAGTTCGCTTATTTCTTGATTTGGTCTGAACAATCTAGTACAACCAGAATAAGAAATGGAAAGCACAGCCCTGCATCCCCACCTCTTTATATACATATTTTATTTCTTCCTTATTTATTTATTTATTTATTTATTTATTTATTTTTTAAGATAGGGTTTCATGTATCCTAGGCTGGCCTCAGACTTCAACACACTGTGTAGTCAAGAATGATTTTGAAATTCTGATCCCACTGCCTCTACCTCTGAAGAGCTGGGATTATAGGCTGGTGCCTGTTGTTTTTGTAGTTGTGTTGTGTTGTGTTGAGTTGGTTTTTCGAGACAGGGTTTCTTTGTGTAACAGTTCTGGCTGTCCTGGAACTTCACTTTGTAAACCAGGCTGGCCTCGAACTCACTGAGATCCACCCACCTCTGCCTCTGAGTTCTGGGATTAAAGGCATGTGCCACCACCACCCAGCCAGTGCCTGGTTTATAGTCACTATTTTTCTTTTATAAAAGAGAAGAAGGGGGGCTGAGAAAAATTGTTTCTCCAAGTGCACACAGCCAGCAAGTGGTAGAGCCTAGCCTTGCAAGGCCTTAGGATTCCAAACTTTTAATTCTACCTATTCAAACGCTTCCTCTGTAGAGAATACAAATGGGGCTGGAGTTTAGTGAATCCCCCAAACTTCCTCTCCAGTTGCCGAAGTGTTTTATATTGAGCCCACCTGGTGAGACACAGTTATACCTGGGGTAAGGACTTGGGATTCTTGGTGTGACTGGGAAGTGTCTGTGCTATCTTCAGGTCCTAAGGGTGCTTTTCCTGAGCATTGTCTCAGCATACATTCTTCCCTTTCTGGGAACCTGAGTTCCCATGCTCTCTCCATTTCCCGCCATCACGATTCCATATTAGATTTGACACATAGGATGTTCAATCAATATTTCTACGATGTAGGTGTAATCTCCTGCAAGAAATAGACAATAGGGAAAATGCTAGCGTGACAGAAGACTTGTAATCTCCTGCAAGAAATAGACAATAGGGAAAATGCTAGCGTGACAGAGACACAGAAGACCTGGGAGGGCTATGAGGAAAGAAAGACACAGGGGAGGGAGCAAAGAACTGTGGGAGAGGAGATGGTGCTGGTGGGTAAGAAGCCGGGACTGTCAGGAAGTTAAGGGCCTGAAAGTGTGAGGAAGGTTAGAGGGCTTGAAGGTGGAAGCGGGCTATGGAGCTAAGGGCCTGACACTGCCCTCTTGCCCAATGGGCCTCTGTTTGCAGTCCCCCTGGAGGGGGTGAACATCACCAGCCCAGTACGTCTGATCCACGGCACGGTGGGCAAGTCTGCCCTGCTTTCTGTGCAGTACAGTAGCACCAGCAGCGACAAGCCTGTGGTGAAGTGGCAGCTGAAGCGTGACAAGCCAGTGACTGTGGTGCAGTCTATAGGCACAGAGGTCATTGGCACTCTGAGGCCCGACTACAGAGACCGTATCCGGCTCTTTGAAAATGGCTCCTTGCTTCTCAGCGACCTGCAGCTGGCAGATGAGGGAACGTATGAAGTGGAGATCTCCATCACTGATGATACTTTCACAGGGGAGAAGACCATCAATCTCACCGTAGATGGTAAAGCACTCAGCAGGGAAGGCGGAGGCGGGACCAGACTGGGACTAAGGCTAGACCCAAGAGAAACACAAAAATTGAACAGGCATTAGAAGGTGGTGCCTAGGCACAGCTAACATGAATAGAGTATTTGCGTGGAACAGACCACTTAACATTTACAATAATCAGGGGCTAGATAATGTCACTCTCTCCACTTTGAAGACAAGGAAAAGAGAATAACTTGCCCAAGCTCATATGACTGACAGAGCCTAGTGTTAAACCTAGAGAGTTGGACCTAGATTTCCCCCAACTAAAATGCCTATTAGGCTTGAGTGGTTTAAGTAGAGTTCAGTGGTTTTAGAATGGTATTTAGGAAGAAAGGAACTAGCACATTCATCATGAGTCTAGAAGTTACTTGATTAATAATGAGCAGATGGAGAATGGATGGATGGATAGATGGATAAGTCATGGGAAAGAGCTAAGCTAAGGATCTCTGGAGGGACTTCTTGGCCCACAGTCTGAACTGTTTTGTTGTCAAAGACAGGAGAATAAAGAAGGGGAGGAATCGTTTTGTAGACTATGACTCACAAGCTTTTCCACCTTCCCATTTCTGGGGCTCAGTGCCCATTTCAAGGCCACAGGTGTTAGTGGCTTCAACCACTGTGCTGGAGCTCAGTGAGGCCTTCACCCTCAACTGCTCCCATGAGAATGGAACCAAGCCCAGCTACACCTGGCTGAAGGATGGCAAACCCCTCCTCAACGACTCCCGAATGCTCCTGTCCCCTGACCAAAGGGTGCTCACCATCACCCGAGTGCTCATGGAGGACGATGACCTGTACAGCTGTGTGGTGGAGAACCCTATCAGCCAGGTCCGAAGCTTGCCTGTCAAGATCACCGTGTATAGTAAGTCTCCCTGCCTGCCCAAGATATGTGTCCACTGGGACTAAAGGTATTTCAGAGAGTGACTGTCTAGCGCAATGGTTCTCGATCTTTCTAATGATGCAAACCTTTAATACAGTTCCTCATGTTGGAGTGACTCCAACCATAAAATTATTTTCACTGCTACTTCATAACTGTAATTTTGC